TGTGTGTGTGTGTGTGTGTGTGTATGTGTATGTGTGTGTGTGTGTGTGTGTTAAATCAATCATTGTGGACCAGTTTTTTTTATTCAGTTACAATAACAAGAGGTATTATATAATGGCATTATTAACACGTTAAAACATTCCAATTTTTTTCAAAATTTTTTCCAACCATTTTTGTGTGTGTGTGTGTGTGTGTGTATGTTTGTTTGTTTGAAAAATATGAGAAATTGTGTGTGTGTGTGTGTGTTAAATCAATCATTGTGGACCAGTTTTTTTTATTCAGTTACAATAACAAGAGGTATTATATAATGGCATTATTAACACGTTAAAACATTCCAATTTTTTTCAAATTTTTTTCCAACCATTTTTGTGTGTGTGTGTGTGTGTGTGTATGTTTGTTTGTTTGAAAAATATGAGAAATGTGGTTTGAAAAAAGCCCATTTAGGCTATATTACACTCTAAAATGCCATTATGAAAAAGTGAATCAAATACACATTCTATCATACACCCCAGATTTCTATTAATATAGGTTGTGAACCCCCCCCCCTCCTGTGTTTTATTATTCTTTTTTTTTTTTTTGAGTAACTCTCATCAATCTCCACAGCATGTACACCGACAAGTCCCGCCTCCTACAACATGGTTGGCTAGTGTCACTCCTTCTCGCAGTCTATGATTGGACGTCCAATCACAACAAACAATGCGCAGGCCTGCGATGGGACTTTATGGTAGTCTTCACCATATGGTCTTCACTACAAATCCCATGATTCCAATGCTTCTTTAATCGCATCATCCAGGAGCAACTGGATCGCTTCGGGTAAAGCTGGAGGATTGAAGCTGATTGTGTTTACATGATTTTTGGCTCTTCCTGAAAGCAGAAGGGTGGAACAGCGATGAAAATGGACTTAAATGCCATCATAGAGAAGATGGAAACAGGCGATCAGGACGCCGCACTGACAGCTCTACAGACCTTTAATAAGGAGGTACATATCAGATTCATGTAAATCAGGACTGTTATAAGATGATGGATGTGAATATTCTGGGAGGAAGTGACTGTTCGGTGCATAGGGAAAGTGTTTCTTTTTTGATACCATAACAGACATATATTTTTGTAAATATTGCATATTTTAGAGTTTACTGCACTGTGACATTTGGTTGTTACAATAGTCCTCTGTTTTGTAAATATTGCATGAAAAAAACACCATCGATGAGGAGCTTCCATGATCAGAATAATGCATTATGTTTCAAATTATGCAAATGCATAGTAGGCTAATTACACTAGTAAAGGATATAAAACGAACGTCATTTACCCGTATAGATGTGGATGTTTATCAGGAACGTTATGTTTTTACATAATATTATATAAAAAAAAAAAAATAGTGAAATAAAATAAAATGAGAAATATCATATTCAAATAAAGAATAGAATAGAATAAGTACCAATGGGTTTGCTCATGTTGTCAATTATTATGATGTTATAATGACAGACATTCAGAAAGCTATTACATAATTCTTTACAACAGTAAAATAGCTTGAGACGAAGCTGACATGCTCTGATGTCAACAGCAGTGCAGAGATTTACTCGACTCCTCTTAAAAACATTCCTTTTTAGCAATATATTGTCATAATTATAAGTACTTTATGCACTGATATTTGGCACTTCATGTACTGCTACTGGGGCCTTCCTTTTTAGATCGTATACCTAAAATCCTATCAAAAGTTTTAAAAAACAAAACCAGAAAGGCCTTTGAAATCTTAACAAATGATCCACATGGGAAACAGGTTAGTGGGTAAATTTAAATCCACCCAGAAACCGAAAAAAAAGCAAAGTCAGATGAGTTAAAGAACTTTGTGTGACGTCGGTTAGATTAGGACTCAAGCAACATAAATAGATTTCTTAGGCTGAGCCTGATGCTTCGTGAGCTGGTATCACTGAGGTTCATGCGCTTAAGCGTTCTAATCATGCTTTAGGTCAGAACTGATGTGTCGCTGATACATATCAAGAGATTACAAATTAAAATTATCATAATAAGGAGGTACATATCAGATTCATGTAAATCAGGACTGTTATAAGATGATGGATGTGAATATTCTGGGAGGAAGTGACTGTTCGGTGCATAGGGAAAGTGTTTCTTTTTTGATACCATAACAGACATATATTTTTGTAAATATTGCATATTTTAGAGTTTACTGCACTGTGACATTTGGTTGTTACAATAGTCCTCTGTTTTGTAAATATTGCATGAAAAAAACACCATCGATGAGGAGCTTCCATGATCAGAATAATGCATTATGTTTCAAATTATGCAAATGCATAGTATGCTAATTACACTAGTAAAGGATATAAAACGAACGTCATTTACCCGTATAGATGTGGATGTTTATCAGGAACGTTATGTTTTTACATAATATTATATAAAATAGTGAAATAAAATAAAATTAGAAATATCATATTCAAATAAAGAATAGAATAGAATAAGTACCAATGGGTTTGCTCATGTTGTCAATTATTATGATGTTATAATGACAGACATTCAGAAAGCTATTACATAATTCTTTACAACAGTAAAATAGCTTGAGACGAAGCTGACATGCTCTGATGTCAACAGCAGTGCAGAGATTTACTCGACTCCTCTTAAAAACATTCCTTTTTAGCAATATGTTGTCATAATTATAAGTACTTTATGCACTGATATTTGGCACTTCATGTACTGCTACTGGGGCCTTCCTTTTTAGATCGTATACCTAAAATCCTATCAAAAGGTTTAAAAAACAAAACCAGAAAGGCCTTTGAAATCTTAACAAATGATCCACATGGGAAACAGGTTAGTGGGTAAATTTAAATCCACCTAGAAACTGAAAAAAAAGCAAAGTCAGATGAGTTAAAGAACTTTGTGTGACGTCGGTTAGATTAGGACTCAAGCAACATAAATAGATTTCTTAGGCTGAGCCTGATGCTTCGTGAGCTGGTATCACAGAGGTTCATGCGCTTAAGCGTTCTAATCATGCTTTAGGTCAGAACTGATGTGTCGCTGATACATATCAAAAGATTACAAATTAAAATGATCATTGAATTTATATCCTATACAAGAATTTAATTTTTTTGGATTGCTTATGATGATGATATTGCTTATGATTTTGTCAGTGATTTTTTTTCCATTGCAATACCCCTATGCTGTATGTTTGAGTATCCAGTGACCCCCCCCCCCCCCCCCCTCCT